TTGGTTGGAAGTGAGAAGCAGACTCCCTTTTGTAGATAGTTTGCCACAGCGCCTGCTTGCTTCACCTCTTTTGTTAACTGCCTGGCCTCATGGGCATCTGAGTCTGGGGACCCCGTCTAATCCATCTCTCCTGTTACAAACTAAGACAGAGGCCCAGCAATTTGCTCTAGTTGGTAGTGCTAGTAAGACACAAAGGCAGAGCTAGAATTCTTGTCTTCTGGGGTGCAACCCTGTGTCCTTTCTGCTACCTGCTGCTACCTCTCAGTGGGAAATGCTCGGGCCTTTAGGAAAGTGTCCCTGTAGGATATGTGACAGGGGAACATAGTCGGATTGGCCTTCATCGTAATGAATGCCTCATCTGTCATGCAGCCAGTCTCCTACACGTCTTAGATGAGTGAGGAATATGGCCAAATGAAGTCCTGGTATCACTGGAGGCCCAACCTGGTATTAATGCTCAATACACTTGAACAACAAATGCAGGGAACACTGAGGTACTGCCTAGGGCTACTCTTGAGCTAAAACTTCTAGCCTAATTTATCGAGTTTGTGGGTGATATCGACATATGTATGTATATATATACATATGTATGTGCATATATATATAAATATATATATGTTTAGGTGGTTTACTCTCACTTCTTTCCCTAACTTCAAATAATTTTTATTTACTTATGTGTAATTTCTTTATTTTGAAAGTAATTTCAAACTTCAAAAAAAAAATTGTAAGGCAAAGATAGTTTACCCAGATTCATCAATTGTTAATGTTTTGCCACATTTATCATTCATTCTTAGCGTGTGTGTGTGTGTGTATAAAACTATTTAAGAGGAGGTTGAATATATTATGCTCCTTTCTTTCATAAAACATCAGTATATATTTTCTAATAATATACTCTTACATATCCACAGTAGAATTATTACATTCAGGAAATTTATCATAGACGCAATACTTTATAGTCCGTATTTCAAATTCATCAGTGGAAAATTTAAGTCCTTTATAGCAATCTTTTTCTATTACAGAATCTAGGCCACGATCAAGTGTTTCATTTAGTTGTTAGCCACTTAGCCTCCTTTAATCTGGAAGAGTTCCTCCACTTTTCTTTGTCTTTCGTGCCATGGATGTTTTTGAGGAATGTCCAGCCGTTTTCTCCAGTGTATGCGTCTTTCTTTTATGTATGTAACATATGTTTATATCTATTAATAGTATGGATGCATGGATTCCTCTTTTATTCAGTAAGTTATAATCTATTACTGTCCTTATTTTGATGCTCAGTTTGTCCAGGTTTGGCCAGCGGGAACCTCTTCAAGCTGGCTCCTGTGTCTCTTTGATGCTCTCATCACTTTTCTTTTTTAAGTACTTGTTTTCTGGCACAAGATGTTCCAAACTCATCTTGTACTTTCCTTGCTCCTGCCCTGGAAGCGGCCATTTCTTCAAGGAGCTCTGGTCCTTTTATTGAAAAATGCTATTTGGAAAGCAAGATCTGGACACTAGGTATGAATGTGAATGTGTGTATATATATATTTGTATTATATACACATTCCAATCCCAGTTTTTCCTTATTTTTTCCCATTCCCTATTTGCATCTCCCTTCTTCCCCACTGGGAGCCCTGGTAGTGCAGTGGTTAAGCGTTCAGCCACTAACCAAAAGATTGGCAGTTGGAATCCACCAGCCACTCTTTGGAAACCCTATGGGACAGTTCTTCTCTGTCCTATAGGGTCACTATGAGTTGGAATTGACTCAACAGCAACGGGTTTGGGTTTTTTTTTTTTCTTCCCCAGTGAGAACCCAGGCTCCCAACAACACTCATGGGCTCAACCCTACAATACCCCAAAATAGTTTCAGAATTGCCATGCCTTTACCAGTATAAGTAGTTCAATATTTGTTTGCAGTTATTTTTCCTTTAGACTGAAGGCACTTGAAGAGTTACTTGAATTAACTCTATTTTTTCCCCTTCGATATGGTTATTTTATTCATCTGAGATATAGTTGGGTTCGTTTACATCTGTACTCAGTTTTTAACCCCCCTCCATCCTTGTTGATTTCATTTTTTTGAATATGTTGACTATTACATGATTTGAAAAGTCAAAACTATATGAAAAGGTGTACTCAAACAAGTCCCCCCCCACATCGGAGCTCGGTTGTCTTCTTCCAAAAGAAGAGTGTAACCCAATAACCAAGGAACCTACATTTTTCCCTACCCTCATAGGTAACCAATATTATTAGATTCCGGTTTATTCTTCCTTTGTTTCTCTTTGCAAAAATTTGCAGATACATTTATTTCCTCCTCTTATTCCTTACACAAAAGGTAGCATAGTTTATACTCTTTCAAACTTTTGCTTTTTTCAATTAACAATATATCCTGGAAATCACTTCATATCAACTCATGTAATTTTTTAATTCATACAAGAAAACAACATTCCATTTACCAAACAATTTGTTGACTTTGAGTGCCAGCCACTGAACTAGGCATGAGGGATACAGAAATAAGTAAAATACAGTCCCTGCCCTTCATGATTCCAATGGAAAGGAGAGACATATGTATAAACAAAACCAACACGGTGCTCTGAAGGTCCAGAGGAGGGAGTAAATAACAGAGGATGTTCGAAAGGGCTGACACTCCAACTTGAAGAATAAAAAACTAGAGAATTGAGACGGGAATTCTAGGTGAAGAAATAGTCTATGTAAAGGCAGCGATGAATAAGGGCAAGGCATACTGTGGAAAGGGAGCTCTGGCAGCGCGGTGGTTAAGCGCTCAGGTGCTAACCAAAAAGTCTGCGGTTCGAACCCACCAGCAGCTCTGCAGGAGAAAAGACCTGGTGATTTGCTCCATAAAGATTACAACCTAGGAAACCCTATGGGGCAATTCTACTCTGTTCTATAGAGTCAACTATGAGTCAGAATTGACTCCATGGCAACGGGTTATGTTATGGAAATGGAAGTTTAATGGGGCTAAAGCTTAGAATTTGAGGGAGGGGGGCAGGGGCAGGATGCAAGTGGGGGCAGAATGGGGTCAGAGTGCCCACTTTGAGGCTGGAGAGGTAGCATGGCACCAGATGGTACAGGTAATGCCAGGAATAAGCTAGACTGTGTTACTTAGGCACCCAGGAGAATGAAGGTCTTTAAAATATGACCTGGATGCATTTACCTCACAAATATTTAATTGACTGCCTGCATCGTGCTAGGTACAGCAGAGAGAGCAGTAAGAATCAAGATCCCAACCTTTAGGGAGCTGACACTAGCAGGAAGACAGAATGAAACGAGCTGTTAGAGTAAAGTGCCCAAGCACACAGAAGGGGAGCCTAATCCACTGGAAGCTGCGGTGAGGCAGAGGTGAGAGAAGACTTCCCAAAGAGAAAGGCTGCCTTTTAGCTGTGGGATGGGGAGGGGAGGAGAGTTGGAAGAGCTCCAATGCTAATGCCTGGAGCAGAGAGATTCAACCCCTTGCTGTCCAGTTGATTCTGACTCACAGTGACCCTACAGGACAGAGTAGAACCGCCCCATAGGGTTTAAAGCGAGATTAAGACTTGAAAAATTTCCCTGGGATTAAGACCACATGCCCATCACTTCTCCATTCCATTCTCCACATTGCAAATCTGATCTCTTTTCATTTTCTAAAGAAGGCCCCCACTTCACCGAGGATTAAGTAGGGGCCTTTAGAATCTGGTCCCAGGTTACCTCTTTTTTTTTTAACCTCTTCCTCTCATTTTATGCTCCAGCCATGCTGAATCTTTGTCTGTCACATCCTATTCCCTCTGCCAAAAATTCATCTCTACTGTCTTTTCAATTTAGATGTTACCAAACGCTGGATTCGGTGTCATCTCTATCTGCTCTCATGGTGCCCTGTGCTTCATCTAATAGATCTCATCTGTCTCATCCCGTGACTCCACAAATAGCTTGAACTCCTTGAGGGCAAAACCCAAACCAAACCCACTGCCTCTGAGTAGATTCCAACTCACAGTGACCCTATAGAACAGAGTAGAACTGCCCCATAGGGTTTCCAAGGCTGTAAATCTTTATGGAAGCATACTGCAACATCTTTATCCGCTGGTGGGTGCCAATTGCCAACCTTTTTGGTTAGCACAGCTGAGCGCTTTAACCACTGTGCCACCAGAGCTCCTGCCTTGGGGGCAGGTAGTGGTTTAATTATCGCTGTATCCAAAGCATCTAGCCTGATGCCCTAAAGCCCAACTAATTTTGGATGGATAAATGCTGACTTCATCAGAGTTAGTTGGGTGGAGGGTTTTGAACTAGACCCTAAGAACTTTGGCCTTCAGACAGTCTATTTGTCACTACAGTTTATGTGTTCTTTCTCCAGCATGGCGAAGCCACTTCGGTTTAAAATTTCTTAAATTTAAAATTTATGATTAGGCTAGATTAATCTGCAAAGACCAGTACTCTAAACTCGGACACTTTAATAATTCTCTTCAGTCTTTTATTTAAAGCAGATAAGAACAAAACCATCTCCTTACAAAACCTACCACCTGCTTAACACGAGCAGAAGCCTTGGCTTAGCCAGTTCCGGGGATTTTTTTCCACTTAGACTCCGCCCACTAGCCCCAGAATGGCGGAAGAATCGAACGATACGTGGTAACTGTCACACAAATGCGGAGGCATCCCGACGTTACGCCGGCGGCGTAGGCGGGGCGGCCGGTTCTTCCTCGGCCCCTCCCCCAGCGCTCACACGCTCATTGTGAAGCGACAGCGGTTGCTAGCCTCTAGAGCTGTTTGAGACCTAGAGACTTTAAATCCTTGGCGCGTGTGAGCGTCCGCGCTGCTCCTTTCCCACTCCATAGGCTAAAGGCGCGAAATTCACTTTATTTTATTCTCCCTTCTCACCCACCAGGAGCTAACTGCCCCGGTGCGCGAAGGCATCTCGCGCCACCTCTCCCTCCTCCCCGCCCTTCCCCCTTCGGGAGCTCTCACCCGCGCGCTCCCCCCTTTCCCCGGCGACGCGCACGCGCGCCAGGCCGGCTCGCGCCCTCTCGGTTTCCTCCAGCCCGCGAGACCCCCTCCCCTTCCGCCTCGCGGCGCTTCCTCGCGCCGCGGTCTTCTCTATCCACCCCCGACACCGCGGGACTCCCCCCCCCACACACACACCCGCCAACGGCGGGTCCCCAGCTTCCCAATCCCTCTCGCTTCCCGCGCCCTCCGGCAGGGGCCTAGTCCCGGCCCCCTCGCTCCCTCCCTTTTCCCTGATTCCCCTTCCGGACGCTGCCATCATGTTGAAGCCTCAGCCGCCACAACAGACTTCCCAGCCCCAGCAGCCGCCCCCCACGCAACAGGCCGTGGCCCGCCGGCCTCCCGGGGGCACCAGCCCTCCCAACTGCGGCCTCCCAGCGCCGCTGGCCTCCACCTCGACTTCCCCAGGGCCTCCCGCTGCCGCTTCCCCTTGCCTGGGGCCTGCAGCCGCTGCAGGGAGCGGGCTCCGCCGGGGAACCGAGGGCATCTTGGCGCCGCAACCGCCGCAGCAGCATCAAGAGAGGCCAGCGGCAGCTGCCGTCGGCAGCTCCAGGTGAGGAGGGGTGGGCTTCCGGGCGGGGGAGCAGAGGCTACTAGGAGGAGGCGGTAGCTCTGTTCCGGCCCCGCGGCCGGGGCCTGAGTACATCCTTGTGGGGCGGGCCCCCAGCCCGACCACCTTCGGATGGCACCGGGGGGGAGTGAGAGACCCCCCCCGTGAAGATGGTGGTGGGTACCCTCAAGTCCTAACAGGTCGGAGGAGAAGGGTCCCCGGGCGGCCATGGGACATTTAGGGGCCAGGCTGAGCTCTCAAGGCCTACTCAGGGTTCGGGGCTCGGGCCTTCAGGGGATGCAGGGCGCACCCCTCCAGCGCCGTCGGATCAGGGAGTTGGGGGGGAGAAGAGGTGAGCGGGGTCCCCGGCTCCATTACCACGGAGGGTCTCGCGGTCCCGGGCTTCAGCCAATGGGGAGTCAGCTGCGGGAAGGGGTCCCCGGCCGTAGCCAATGGAGGGGGGCGCGCGGCCCACAGTTTGGCCAATGGGGAGGGAAGGACTAAGGAGCGGGTTGCTACCTCCCCCTTCCCGGTCCGGCCAGTAGGAGGGGAGCGGAGAGGGCGGGGGGACGGAAGGAGGGACGACCGGGAGGACTGCGGGCCGGGAACCTCAACCGCGCGCGCGTGATCTCTCCCAGCGTGCCGCGGATGCTCTGTCTCATGACACGGGCATTCGCGTGTCCCGGGTAGTATATTCGGCAGAAGCTGGGAGTGTGCGTGTAGGGGTATTGGAGGCCCCACTCTGTTTTCTCTCTCTCGTTTTAATGGAACTGAGGGTGGTGGTACACGCAGGCGCAGTGGGTTCCGGTCGCGGGAGGGGGCATTTTGAAGCGGTCCGTGGGCTTTAGTGCGCAGGCGCAGACCGGGCGAGGCCTCCCGGTGGATGGCTTTTGCGGCTGCGCTGTCCCCCAGCCCCGCCAACGGCCCCCTCGTCGCCCTCAGTCGCCGGTTACATCAGCCATCGAGGAGGAGGGTTACCCGCCTGAGTTGGTAATAGGCTGGATGGGTAATGAGATCGAAGGGGTGAGGTGTGGAGGGGCTGCCCTCCCAGGGCTTGGGGTGTAAGGCTGCTGAAAATGTTTGTGTTTTCTATCTGGGAGGTAATGTGTCTGAGGTAGGTAGTTCCAAATCTGCACTCTAAGCTTCCGCCTTTACCTGTAGGGTAGGTTATTGGTTATGGAATACTGTAGTATTGGTCTGTTGGAAGCATGCAGCCCTCTGCCCCTGGGAGAAAGTGAGGAGGTTGTGTTGAATTCGCTCTTCTGAGCATGACAACCGTTGTTGTTTGAGGTCTATTTTACTGGCATTTGGAGGCACCGTATTTACTGGCTCTTGACGCCTACTCCTCGTTTTCACTGTAAGGTGAGAGTTTGAACATCTTGTTGGTAAATTGCTTTGTAGGCTAAATCAGCATCTTCATTTGGTATGTGGTTCTAGGATACCAGTCCCTTAGAAATTAATATTGTAAAGGAGAATTAAACAGATTTAAATAATCAGTTCCTTTATTCCTTCCCGTATAGGGGACAGAGCACAGGAAAGGGACCCCCACAGTCACCGGTGAGTGCCTTTTTCCCTCCCTAAGATACAAGGACCTAAAAGCCGCATACATGGGATATAGGGTAGATTAGGTACAGAGATAGTCAGAGGGGCTCAGAAGGACAGGAGACCCAGCACATAAAAGGTAGGGATGAGTGGAGCCTGGACATTTAGAAGGGAAGTGAAGTGTTGACTGACTACTATGTATTTCTCCCTCCTTTGTCGCTGACAGGTGTTTGAGGGTGTCTACAACAATTCCAGAATGCTGCATTTCCTTACAGCTGTTGTGGTAAGTGAGTACCTAATCCCTAGATTGTTTAAGACTGTTATGATCAGTTTGCTGGAGACACTCTTATTTTTCTCACTCTCCCAGGGTTCTACTTGTGATGTAAAGGTGAAAAATGGCACCACCTATGAAGGTATTTTCAAGACTCTGAGCTCAAAGGTCAGTGTACTCAAATTGGCTTATTTTTGGACTTGCATAGAAGAGGAGAATGAAATAGATTTATTGAGAGCATGAATTGAGTGGTATTGGACAACACTATGACTTTGTTACTTGTTTTTGTAGGCCTGTGCCAGAGTAACACTACAAACAATAAAATATACGGGTCTGAATAAATGTGGGCACTTTTAATGTTAAAATGTATAAATTTTAGAATGTTAAGTGTTTAAATTTGAGACTTTTGTTAGGCTTTGTGGCTCGTGTTGATAAGACAGTGTACATGAAAGTATTGGGGAAATTTTAGAGTAGAAAGAAAATAGTTACGTTTTTGCCTTCACTTTTTTTAATACTGATTTTTGGGTTTTGGGGAATGGGGGCTTTTGTAGTTTGAACTAGCAGTAGATGCTGTGCACAGGAAAGCATCTGAGCCAGCAGGTGGCCCTCGTCGGGAAGACATTGTGGACACCATGGTGTTTAAGCCAAGTGATGTCATGCTGGTTCACTTTCGAAATGTCGACTTCAATTATGCTACTAAAGGTATTGTTCTAGACAATTACAGACCCACTCTGTGTGAGTAGAGGGGAGGAGAGGGCAGTTTGTGCGCAAGCAGAACATTACAGCGGCTTGTTTTGTTTTTGTCACTGCTTTTTTTTTTTGAGGGAGATTGCGTTTTTTGTTGTTCTGGAAAATGTGTCTCAATGTCTAAGATATAGTGGGGTGATTTCTGACTTGTGTTTTGGTTCTTCAGATCCTCCCTGCTTAGTTTTCAGTTCCTTGCTCGTTTTGAACTATTAAGATGAGGTTTTTTTATCCTGCCTTTCTTCCAACCCTGGCACATAGCACATATAGTCAGATCTGGGTTTCTTAAATTTTTTTACTCCTGAACTACGTGTAGTAGAGGGAGGAAGAATGTGAAGAATTACCCGATTCCTGATTGTCAAATCTGTCCCCACAGACAAATTCACCGATTCAGCCATTGCCATGAACTCAAAGGTGAACGGGGAGCATAAAGAGAAGGTGCTGCAGCGCTGGGAGGGGGGCGACAGCAACAGCGATGACTACGACCTCGAGTCTGACATGGTATAGTCTCCCTTCCCGGGAACCTGAGGGCTGGGTGACTGTGGTGCCATAATGTGTGTAGTTGACAGTAAGGTCATTCTTGGGGAAGGGAGAGGAAAATCCTTTACTGTTGCCTGTTGGTTGTGGTCAGTTTCCAGATAGAAAGGTACAGAAAAATCACAGAACAAAATCTCTCACCATCTGTGGTTTACAGCTGTTAATATTTGCTTCAGATCACTTTATTAACAGGTTGCAGGTAAGGCTGAGCACCTTGTAGATTCATTACCCTTTCCAAGAGCAATTATTTTGATGCAGTTGATATGTCTCTGGCTGATGTTTCATGCTTATGCGTGTATGTATTCATGAATGAATGCATTATTTTGATAATCTTTAATTTATACAAGAATTCATTTTTCTTGCTTGTTTAATTTTTAATAGTGGTGTATAAATCTAGTGCATTGCTTTTAACGATTATGTAGTACTCTATGTGTATACGTACATGCTTGTGTACACACACCAAGCTGTTTATTCCTTTCCTTACTGATTGGAAGAGCCCTGGTGGTGCAGTGGTTAAGCACTCAAATGCTAACCCATCAGCAGCTCTGCAGGAGAAAGATGTGGCAGTCGCCTCCGTAAAGATTACAGCCTTGGAAACCTTACGGGGCAGTTCTACTCTGTCCTATAGGGTCACTGTGAGTCGGAATCGACTCAGTGGCAGTGGGTTTGGTTTTTGGTTTTATTGATTGGTGTTTTGTCCATTATTTTGCTATTAAAAATAATGCCTAATGCTACTAAACTTTCGGAACATGTATCCCCATGTACATGTGCCAGAGCTTCTCTGGGGTAAAAACCTAGAAATGGATTTGTTAGGTCTTGGGGCTTTTCAGTTTTACTACTTATTGCTAGTTTGTGTTGCAATTGGTAGTATTAATTGATAGTCCCGCCAGTTGTGTTCCTGTTTTTTCATTCTTGCTTTGGTCACATTTTTAAGTTTTTCAGTTGATGGAAGGAAAATGACACGTCATGGTTGCTTTTCTTCCTGGGTTTAAAATACTTGCCCTTTTCTCTCTCCACTCAGTCCAATGGATGGGATCCCAATGAGATGTTCAAATTCAACGAGGAAAACTATGGTGTAAAGACCACCTATGATAGCAGTCTCTCTTCTTACACGTGAGTATCTTGGTAGTTCCCAGGTGATACAGTTTGGGATGTGGGGTCAGTAACAGAAGGCATGAGTCTCTAGGTGGAACATAGCTTTTGCTCATGCTTTTCTAGGTGCCCAGGTTGCCCCTTTTACTCCTGGTCTGTTCTGCAAACTCCTCCCTCAAAGGTTTTCTCTTACCTTTTCCTGATTTCCAGGCTGCCCCATGGGTAGAATTAACTGTTTCCTTGTTCATCCATGTCTTTTGTCTCGAATCGAAAAGCATACTTATGTGTATTTATATCTCTCAGACTTGGAGATATACCTTAGTGCCCTGCCAGAACCCAGTGGGTGCCCATTAAATATGTGCTTAAATTGTTAAAGGGGTAAAACGCTCACATACCTGAATTGGGGATAGAACTGAAAGAAGTGTTTTATCTTTTTCCCCTCTTGTCCCCTGGCACTGGGATGGTGGTGGTCTGTGTGGGTTCTCTCAGGGTACCCTTAGAGAAGGACAACTCAGAAGAGTTTCGTCAGCGAGAGCTGCGCGCGGCCCAGTTGGCCCGAGAGATTGAGTCGAGCCCCCAATACCGCCTGCGAATTGCCATGGAAAATGACGATGGGCGCACTGAGGAAGAGAAGCACAGTGCGGTCCAGCGGCAGAGTTCAGGGCGGGAGAGCCCCAGTCTGGCATCCAGGTGATTACTGGGGACAGCCAGGACTGCTTGGGGCTCACTATGGGCAAAGAGCTTTGTACACTCTTGTTTAAGCCTCACAAACGTACGAGGTATAGGCTAGTACATAGTTATTCCCAGTTTTTATGCTTTGGAGATAGAGACCTAAGAAGGTTAAGTGATTTATCTAAGGTAATATGGGTAAAGCTTGTGGATTTAGGAATTAAAAGAAAAACTTTTTTCTCTCAGAATTTGATATATGGTTTCTCTTTTTCTCTGCATTCACATGTATTTGTTTTTTACCCTTTACAAAACAAAATCAAACTGTATATAATGATCTGTGTCTTGTACAAGCTGCATCTTGAACTGCAGTGTGACAGATACTTTCTTATAAGTCAGGAATAGTAGAATTGTGTAAATTGGCCAGATTGATTGGGTCAGGATTGACACAACATAAGGTCATAAGCTTGTAGCCACAGAAAATTTAACCAGGACAGAGCTTCAAGTGGGATAATGAAAGAAGCTAGAGCCAGGCGTTATGTGTGTGTAGGGGGTAGGGGTAAGGAGGTGGACTTTAGAAAAGAGGGCTTTATCTTCCCAAAGTGTATAAGTTTTATGGCTCACTGACCTTAATTGAACTCTCTCCCCAGGGAGGGGAAATACATCCCTCTGCCCCAGCGAGTTCGGGAAGGTCCCCGGGGAGGTGTTCGCTGTAGCAGTTCCCGGGGTGGCCGGCCTGGCCTTAGCTCTTTGCCACCTCGTGGTTCTCACCATCTTGACAATAGCAGCCCTGGCCCAGGTTCTGAGACACGTGGTATCAATGGAGGTGAGTTGTGGAGCAAACTTGTCGGGGGCGAAGGAGGGGACAGTAAGAAGGTGGGAAGTGTTTAATTGAAAAGTAGGATTTAGATGGGTTGGAAGGATGATGCATTGGTGGTAACGTAATAGCAGGTAGTCTGTCTGTTCTTACATTTATTTCATCTTTAAAAAAAAATAGGTTCTTCCCGTATGTCCCCTAAGGCACAGCGGCCTCTGAGAGGTGCCAAGACTCTGTCTTCATCTAGCAGTAGGCCTTCTGGAGAAGCTTCTGTTCCACCTCCTCCTGCAGGTAAAATTCCACTAGTGTTGGATGAAGATAGAGGAATAGATATTTGTGAAGGGATGTAAACATGCTAATTGTTGAATGCTGGAATGGGAGACAGTTTCAAATATGAAAGCCGATGGCAGGGGGGTTGGATTTATCCTTTTGGGGAAAGACTTTTTTGGTTTTTCTAGTGCAGAAATGCCAACCTGGTGATCCATGGGTTGTATCCAGGGCTTCGAACCGGTTCATTCCAGTTCGAACCTTTGCTGAGAATTTGCTTTTCTAATAAGTTCTCAGGCGATGCTAATGCTACTGGTTAGGGACCAGTTCTGAGAACCACTAGTGGAGCAGTGGTTCTCAAAATTTATCACATTTAAGAATCACTTGGTGATCTTTATTAAAATGCGTATTCTTAGTATATCTGGGGTAGAAAGGCACATTCTCAGCAGGGGTTTGAACCAGTTTGAAGCCCTGGTTGTATCTGGCTGGCAGATGTCTTTTGTTTAGAACTGATTTAGTTGCCAACATTTTAAAACATACAAGTCGTATAATTAAAAGTTGTTTTGTGATACAGAAAGTTCTGCCAACATTGAGCCTGCCTTGCTGCATAGCCATGGTTGGCTGGAACTGAGTCACGCCTGCCGTTTTAGGCAATCTAGTTTGTCGTGGTGCCCTTGAGGCCGTTTCACTTGCCTATGTTACCTCCCTCGCCTTTTCAGCTTTATAGGTATTTAAACTTGTGAACGTGCCTGTTACATAAGGTTTTTTTTGCTGTTATCTTAGATACCCTGTACCCATTGCTTACTGACCAGCAGTAACCATTGTACAGCTCTCCCTTTTCTTCCAGTGGGCCGGATGTACCCCCCACGCTCTCCCAAGTCTGCTGCCCCTGCTCCAATCTCAGCTTCCTGTCCTGAGCCTCCCATCGGCTCAGCAGTGCCAACTTCTTCAGCTTCCATCCCTGTGACATCATCGGTTGTGGATCCTGGAGTGGGCTCCATTTCCCCAGCTTCTCCAAAGATCACACTGGCCCCCACAGATGGTAAGAGCTAGATGGTTGAGGACTGTGACAGTGTGAAGTGTCATTTTGGACAGAAGAACCTTTAGGTGTCTCTCTCTTCTTGCTCAGTGAAAGAACTCCCGAACAAGGAGCCTGGGAGAAATCTGGAGCCCCAGGAGCTGGCGCGGATAGCTGGGAAAGGTGAGAGTCGTTTTTATTCACCTAGATCGAATGCCTCTTTGTTTGGGGGCGATTTTTTCAGTCAGTGAGGTGGTTTAAATTCAGAAGCAGCCAGTATCTATCACCCTTTTGACCCTAGTTTCTGTTTTTAGGATTCTCATGTGTTTCTCTCTTTTCTTTTTTCCTGATTTCTTTGTCCTCTGGGCTACTGGCACCTTCGAAAGAAGAAACTTACTATTTTCTCCTTTCTCTTGTAGTCCCTGGCCTACAGAATGAACAGAAACGATTTCAACTGGAAGAACTGAGAAAGTTTGGGGCCCAGTTTAAGGTGAGAGATGGAAATATGGGGATGAGCTAGGATGTTAGCAGGATGAAGAGGAGAGTGGAGGGTTTATATAAGCGGCAGAGGATGAGGTGGGATGTACAAGATGAGATAAGCAAAGATGAAATAAGTAGGAGCTGGGGTCTGGACCAGTTAGTTCTGTATGTGTGTTTTTCTTGTTCCAGCTTCAGCCCAGTAGCTCTCCTGAGGCCAACCTGGATCCTTTTCCTCCCCGGATCTTAAAGGAGGAGGCCAAGGGGAAGGAGAAGGAGGTTGACGGTCTGTTGACTTCAGAACCCATGGGGTCCCCAGTCTCCTCCAAGACAGAGTCCGTATCGGATAAAGAGGAGAAACCACCCCTGCCACCAGCAGGAGGCACTGAGGGGCCAGAGCAGCCCCCACCGCCTTGCCCAAGCCAAACCGGCAGCCCCCCAGTGGGCCTCATCAAGGGTGATGACAAGGATGAGGGCCCTGTTGCTGAGTGAGTGGGATGGGGAGCTGGGTGGATGCCAGGGGTAAGGAGGGGTAAGCCATGAGGATTTGCCGGGGCTTCAAACCGGTTCATTCCAGTTTGAACCCCTGATGAGAATTTCGTTTCCACCCCAAATACACTGAACCAGAATACATAGTTTAACAAAGATCCCCAGGTGTTTCTTACGTATGATAAATTTTGAGAATCACTGCTCTATTAATGGTTCTCAGAATTGGTTCCTAACCAGTAGGAGTAGCTTTGCCTGGGAACTTGTTAGAAATGCAAATTCTCAGCAGGAGCTCTAATCGGAAGGAACCAGTTCAAAATCCTGGAATTTATTTTCTCTCATAGGCAAGTAAAGAAGTCAACGTTGAACCCCAATGCCAAGGAGTTCAATCCCACAAAGCCTCTGCTGTCTGTGGTGAGATGGGATGGGAGAACGTGGACTTTGGTTTCTGTGAGGGAGACTTGAGGGAGAGGGGGTTAAAAAAGCAATGGAGGGAAACACTTGCCTGCCAGCTGCCAGGCAGTGAGAGGAGACATTGTAAAAGCGTGGAGGCATAGCAGCAGTTGGGCTGGTTTGGGGGAAATAGAGATAGGTCTCCAGGGTGGCAAGGGACCCTGGTGCATTTGACAGGTATTTTTGGGTTTCTTTCTAGGACTTAGCATTTGGTTCAGGAAATATGTCAGTGAAGTTGTTTTGAGCATAGGCTTCATTCAGGCAGAATCACTTGGCTTGAATCCCTGCACTTACAAACTTTGTGATATTGAATAAGCCACTGAACTTCTCTGCCTCAGTTTCCTCTGCTGTAATCTGAGCATGCCTGTCTCATGGGGTTTGATATGGGTGGGTTTTAACCAAGAGAAGGTGTAGAATGGCTTTGGTACACAGCACTCTATGAATGTTAGCTGCTGTTACAGGCATGGCAGAGGGAGATCTGAAAAGTCAAAATATCATTCTTGTGCTTCACAGAACAAATCCACCAGTACCCCAACTTCCCCGGGGCCCCGGACTCATTCAACTCCTTCCATCCCGGTGCTGACAGCAGGCCAGAGTGGATTATATAGTCCCCAGTACATCTCTTACATACCTCAAATCCACATGGGGCCAGCTGTGCAGGTAAGGGATAGGTTGGGCCCAGGGTGAAGGGATGGGGTTTGGTAGGGCTGGCTGGGGGGACCATGTCAGGCCTGTTCTGGGCATTTGCAAGCAAGTCATTCAGCCTTATCTGTGTCTTTTCTTTAGGCACCTCAGATGTATCCATATCCTGTGTCCAACTCTGTACCTGGGCAGCAGGGCAAGTACCGGGGAGCCAAAGGTGAGCAGGGTCAGGAGGGGCAGTTGATGGGGCTGCCCAGTGCCTCCTGGCAGATGGAGCTTGAGCTCTTCACTATTTTTACTCAACCCGCAGGCTCCCTGCCCCCTCAACGCTCAGACCAACATCAGCCAGCCTCAGCCCCTCCAATGATGCAGGCTGCCGCTGCCGCTGGCCCACCTCTGGTGGCTGCTACACCCTATTCTTCCTACATCCCCTACAATCCACAGCAGTTCCCAGGCCAGCCTGCCATGATGCAACCTATGGCTCACTACCCCTCACAGGTGACTGAGGCACAGGAAGAAAGTGGGGGTAGAGAGCCCCTGTTAGGGATCCCTTCTTCTCCACCTCCAGGAACTCGGGGATGGGGGAGACGGGGCAGGCAGTGTTAGTGTGTGGTGCTTGTCAGCTTTGGGTTTGGTGTCATCCGACTTGAGCTTAAATCTTGGTTCTTAAGTCACTGGCGAGACCTATAACAAGTTATCGAACATCTGAGTCTTAGTTCTTTTCTGCTGTAAAATATACTTAGCATCTACTGGGCAGAATTATTGTGAATGTTAAAGGTAGTTGCGACAAGGCCAAAGTAGTGCTGTGCACAGGTTGATGGGATAGGAGGACATGCCTCCCAAGTCTTACATCGTGCCAACTGCTGTTCTCTCATCCTACCAGCCGGTGTTTGCCCCCATGCTTCAAAGCAACCCCCGCATGCTGACGTCGGGTAGCCATCCGCAGGCCATTGTGTCGTCCTCTACGCCTCAGTACCCTTCTGCAGAGCAGCCCACCCCCCAAGCCCTTTACGGTGAGTTCTTTTGTGCTCCCCTGCCCCCCCGTCCACCCCCAACCCTTGCCTCTGCTCTGGGCTGTGCTCCCTGGTCCTTTGGTGTGCTCAGCACTGATTCTGTCTCCCTATTTTCTGCTGCAGCCACTGTTCACCAGTCCTATCCACACCATGCCACGCAGCTCCATGCCCACCAGCCGCAGCCAGCTACCACGCCTACTGGGAGCCAGCCGCAGTCCCAGCACGCGGCCCCTAGTCCCGTCCAGGTGCCTGTCATGGGGGATCTGAGAGGTGGAAGAAGTAGTGGGTGGCTGGAAGAGTGAGTTTGGGGGTGGGGGTCATCCCACAGCAGGGAGGATAAAGGGTCAGTGGGTGATAGGCCTGGGTACCAGAGGAGTGGGTGACACTCACCCTTCCCTCCCCCTGACAGCACCAGGCGGGGCAGGCCCCACACCTGGGCAGTGGACAGCCACAGCAGAATCTGTACCACCCAGGGGCCCTGACAGGCACACCGCCTTCTCTGCCACCGGGACCTTCTGCCCAGTCCCCTCAGAGCAGCTTCCCCCAGCCAGCCGCTGTGTATGCCATCCATGCTCACCAGCAGCTGCCCCACGGCTTCACCAACATGGCTCACGTCACCCAGGTAAGAGTCCAGGGGACCTGCTTCCTCTGGGTCTATGTCCCACCACGAGAACATGATAAACCATGGGGCTACCCGTTTCTGAATCCCTGGTACTCCCTTTGCTCGTTGCTCCCTGACACTTGGGTTCTCAGAGCCTGTCTCAAGCTTCTGTGGTACTCTCAGCTCCTTTCTGTTCTTTGCAGGCCCATGTCCAAACTGGAATCACAGCAGCCCCGCCCCCTCACCCTGGGGCTCCCCACCCGCCCCAGGTGATGCTGCTGCACCCACCCCAGAGCCATGGGGGGCCCCCCCAAGGCGCGGTGCCCCAGAGCGGGGTGCCTGCACTCTCAGCTTCCACACCCTCACCCTACCCCTACATCGGACACCCCCAAGGTGAGCAGCCTGGCCAGGCGCCTGGATTTCCAGGAGGAGCCGATGACAGGATTCGTGAGTTCTCATTAGCTGGGGGAATTTGGCATGGAAGAGCTGAGGGGCTGCAGGTGGGGCAGGATGCACGGGTTCTGGGTGGGGAGTGAGGGGTCTTGGAGGCAGGGCTGTCCCACAGGGCGCCCGCCGACCTGCACCTGTCTGTGAAGTATGTAGGGTGGGCAGAAGCCACAGCCGCCGCCGCCAGGGGCTTGCTCCTGGCTCTGTCCTTTGCTTCCCTCCGTCCTCGCTCAGTTGTGATCCAGCAGCCCCCCTCCCCACTGCCTCCCCAGCTCTCAGTGACCCCGACTGTCTCCTGACTTAGCCGAGGTAAGGTCAGCGCAGCAGACAGGGCCAGGCTGGGGTGTGGGGGGCTGAGCTGGGCACACGAGTGAGGGCTCTGGCTCACTGGGAAACAGCGATTGATCTGTGCTTCTGACAGCCCCAAGAGACACCCTGAGGAGGCCGCTCCTACCCAAACACACCCCCCCATGCCCCCCACTGGACGGCATTGGATGAAGGGACAGCTGCTTGGGTTCTAATGCTCCTGCTCTCTTCTCTTTCCCCTCCAACCAGTTCAATCTCATCCCTCCCAGCAGCTCCCCTTCCACCCCCCGGGGAACTGAAGATTGTCCTGGCCGCGACCTGAGACCTCCATGAGTGGAGGGAAGAGTGATCTATGTCTCTTCCCCCAGCAGCTCGGACCAGTCCCAGCCCCCAACCCCCCCTCTCCCCCTGGGGAAGCTGGGGAATTCCTGCCAAGCACCTTGAATGGGAAGCGCCTCAAAGGGGGCAGGGCCAGGGCCCAGCGTGGGTAGGGGGGGTTCCTGCTCTGACTTTGCCCATTCCCACCCCATCTTGCCCTCCCATCCTCTATCCCCTGCTGGAGACAGAAGATCTTTTATTTTCTATTATTTATAACCTCAGACTTGGGCCCCCTGTTGTTCTTCCCCATTAACTTTTGAGTGACCTACGTGACAGAAAGACAGATGCCCCACAAGGATGGTTGGACAAGGACTTTTACTTTTTATTACATAAAAATATTTAAAAAAAATAAAAAAAATAAAATTTTAAACTAACTTACCCAGCCTGTAGTTTTCTCTCTGGAGAATAGGGCAGGGTCATAGCTGTAGGTCTTTCAAGAACTAGAGTTCTCCAGATCCTAGAGGTTGGGCACCAGGGCCCTTCACTTGAGGGGAAGGTGGAGTGGAGCAACTCTATTTTCTCCTAGGTGATTTATGAGGTAGTGGATTGTGTTGTCATCGTGTTTCTTCTCCTCCATGTGAAACTTGTATCTAATGTCTCCGTGTAGGATAATGAACTAAGCGTCTTAAGCTATTCATTTGAAAGTGAATTCCAGACGATTAATGTTCTGATGTTGTGTAGTTGATGGCTGTGAGGTTCTGGATTATCAGATGGCTAAAGTGCATGAGATGCGTTGGCCAAGCTGGTTCCCAAGGTATGGCAGTGTGGCAGTACAGTCAGGACGCTGCCCAGAGACGTGGGTTCTTACTCTGGCCCCACAACTACTGCACAAGTCACCCAACCTCTAGTGACTGCGTTCTCACCTCTAAACTGGTCTCAGTTTGAGGTGTGACCTGAAGCTTTTCCTTTCTAATGGTACCTCATGAATTAGCTTGCTTCTTTACATTGAAAAATGCTTTAATTTTTTTGGCAATTGGAATTAATGGTCTGGCTGGCATACAGCTGAGAAGTCTTGGGTGTGGGTGAAAGCTATAGATGTGAAGCTGGTAGTGAGGAGGAAGACTTTGCTGAGGAACCAGGTTTAGGGGAGTGGCAGCTGAACTAGGGGTTAGGATGGGAGGAGAGAAGCCAGGCATGGGATGTAGAAATGGGAACAGGCTCCAAGGGAGGTGCTTTGTTCAAGGAGGCAGTTAGGAATTATGTCACTCTCTGATCTTCTGCCCTTGGTTTCCTTGCATGTAAAATGCAGAGAATCTCACCCTTAAAGGGATGTGAGTTGTGCACAGGTGCTCGGTGGAAGGCAGGTGTTTCAGCTGGGACCAAAGCCAGAAAAAAGTGGCTGAGACCAGGGCAGAAAGAATGAAGGTTAGATATCGGGGAAGAAGTCTCAGGATGTGAGGATCTGAAACTAGGCAAGTGGGGGGCAGGCATAGAGAGGGGTCTTTTGACAAATAAATGGAAAAAGGGTTGTGTGTAACAGCCACCTGGCTGCTAAAATTGGGCAGGGTTAGAGTCTTAGGGAAAAAACTCTTGGATAGAAGATGGAGGTGGAATGAGAATGTGGACTGGGGTTGGTTAGTGATGGGAGGAGGGGCAGGAAAACCTTCTGTTGGGCTTGGGGTGTCTGAAGTACACACTGAGATGCAGGTCTCTGTAGAACAGTGAAAAATGCGAGTATTACTAAGTAGTCCTTCTTATGCTTTAAGGATTGCAGATTGGTTATAATTTATTATCGTCTTATTCCTAAGAATAGAAATGAGTTGGGAGGGAACTTACCCTTCATCCAAGCAGAATTCCCCTGTGAAACCCAGATTCTGCTTGGACACTGAGGAGGTTAAAACAAATAAATTTGCCCTATTATTGAACAGTACTTTTTGCAAAGTTGTTGTGTCTTGCTTCTGTTAGTTTCTTTCTGCTCTAGAATCACAGATAAGTTATGAGGTCCTCAAAACAGCTCTCAGGTTGGACCCACAACCCTCCCCCCTTCTCAGGGCTGCTGGTCAGTGGGTTGTCCTAGATGTATCCATTTGTCAGTGGCCATGCTTGAAAGGGGTGCCCATGAATTCCTGGTGAGTAGTATTGCCTGATTTGTGTGGGCTATGCATCCTGGCTGGTCTTGGTCATTTCAAGTTTTGTTTTGTTTTTTTTTAAATCTAGCCAGCATTTGTAAACAACCTTTTTCTTAATTCTAAATCCCAGTAAATGTTGAAAAAGGAAACCTTTCTACAGTCTCTCACCCTTATGCTTGGAGTTGGGTTATAACAGTGATCGACCATACAGTTAACACTGCAGGGCCCACTTGCTAAGATTATGTAGCTCTCAAGTCTGTCTTAAGTGCTGGGTTTAAAGGTGAATGAGATAGTCCCTACTCCGAGAGCTTTAACAGGGGTAGCTAGATATTAACAACTTAGTACAACTACTGAAAGAGGACATAAGCTGTGTTTGGCATCGGAGGTGAGCCCATGCTGGCTTCAGGTGATAGCCAAATTCTTTCCCAAGAGCTTCTAGTAGGATAGATAGTCCACAGACATCCTACTGGAGAATTTTACTGGGCAGTGGCACAGTGCTTACTGGGCTAGCTTGTTCTTTGGCTTCTCACTTTCTCAAGTTGCCACAGCAACTTGATAAACCCATTGCTGTGGAGTCGATTCCAACTCAGCGACCCTATTATAGGATGGAGTAGAACCTGCCCTATTGGGTTTTCAAGGCTGTCCATCTTTACGGGAGCAGACTGCCACATCTTCCTCCTGTAGAGTGGCTGGTGGGTTCGAACTGCTGACCTTTTAAGTTTGCAGCTGAGTGCTTAACCACTGCCACTAGGGCAGCTTTAAAAAGACGTCAGTGAGTTCTAGCCTCTACCATAGAGATGAACCCAGGACTAGAAGGATGAGCTCAGGTAAGATGGCTCTGCAGCGTCTCCTGCTCCTGGACTTCAGTTCCCTTTTTGCACTCCATCTTCTCCAACTTACTTACACAAAGGACACATGACACACAAGCTAGTCTGCTATTCACAGAACAGTTTATTGGCCTGCCCCAGCTGAACAGGGGAAGTATCAGTCTAGCTGTATGCTCCTGGGTTGACAAGGGCTGCAGCTTGGGTCCTGGGGACACCAGGACTGGAGGGGACACTGGCCAGGCAGCCTTGAAGCAGATCCTGAGCAGAGGTCCAGAGACTCAACTCCACTTGATCTTCTTGTCCTCCTCAGTTAAGGCTGGTATGTCAATGACAAGGCCGGTGCCAATGGTCCGGTTGCCATCTCGCAGGGTGAAACGCTGGCCCTTCTCTAAGATCATTGGCTGCCTCAGAATCAGGGTAAGCTTCAGGTCCTCCCCAGGCATGGCAAGCTCCTGGAGGGGGACAGGGATTATGTCATGTGTGAACTTCAGTGTGCTTTGCCTTCACTCAGTAACTTTAATTGCTACCTTGGAGATTGAGAAACCTAGAAGAACACATCATGATGATGATTCTCTCTAGGGACAACTTCATCCCAGCTGTGAGGCAGACTCAACAGCATATACAAAGACAGCATGAATGAGACAAGTGATGATCAGTGGTTCCAAGGTACACTCTTGGGAAAAAATGTTTAGGAAATTTTAGGTTATATAGGTTTCTTAGTTGCAGGACTTCTCTGAGCCTTCATATACTATAAAACTCAAATAACAAGAGGACCCTTTCCTAGAAAGTCTTTCTGGAGATAAATGCTGGTATAGCTAAGCTTTTAACCTACTTCAGCCTAACATGCACTGGGTGAGGACTCAGTCCCTTTAGATCTACTGGTCTAGACCCTTCCACCTACTAGTTTCACCTACACTGTCAGCCAGCCTCTGGCTGACCCATAGCAATCAAGTCACCTCAGTTGTCACATTATATCTTTGGAACTGTGAATGAGGCAGAGCTGATATTACTGCTTCACACTTCCCTAGACCCACATACCTTCCCTGGGGGCAAGATGACACGACAGGCCATGTCCCAAGTCAGGGAGAACATGACAGGCATGAAGTGGGATACGAAAGGCTTGTGGCGGCCACCTTCCTCCTTGCTAAGGATGTAAACCTGGAGGAGAGAGCAATGAGGGCGGAGCGGGACTTAGCTGAAAGCACTGCTTCTGTGCAGGGGATAGTTTGGCCTAGCCCTGCCCACTATCACCTGGACCCCTCACCTGGGCCTCCACCTTTTGGTGGGGCTGGATGGAACCTGGCTTCGCCATGACCAGGCCACGCCTCAGGTCCTCCCGCTTCAAGCCTCGGATCAGGGCTCCGAGGTTATCACCTGCCTCAGCCCTGTCCAGGCTCTTGTGGAACATCTCAATGCCTAGGAGAGAAGAGAGAAAGGAGGGAGAAGGGACAAGGAGGAGCATCTGGGGCAGAGGAGAAAGCATGAGGGATCCAGGATAGGAAAGGTCAACCTGGAGTCAAACCCTGGGTCCCAAGGCTTCCTGTACCTGTCACCACAGTGCGAATGTTCTTGCTGTGTCCCAAGAACTCACACTCATCTCCCTTTTTCAAAATGCCACGCTCCAGCGTACCTGTCACCACTGTGCCCCGGCCTGGGAAGGAGCAGAAGAGGACATCAGGAACCCTGGGCTAAGCTATTGCTGGGGTAGGGGGTACGAACAAGTATGGTCAGGTCCTCACCAGGAATAGAGTAAATAGATTCCACAGGCAGCAGGAAAGGCTTCTCCAGGTCCCGAGTGGGCACTGGGATGTAAGTGTCCACAGCATCCAGCAGCTTCTGCACCGACTTCACGCCTAGTTCAGGGTCACGTTGCTGTGAAGGGAGGTGACAGGACTCTTGAAATTTCCACTCTGCTCCTCTTACTTAGCAAGCACCACTCCCTGGACTCAGAGAAGAGCTCTGCCTGCCCATCCAGCCCCATCCTCTGCCAGCAGCCCCCTACTGTCCCCACCCTCACCTCGAGGGCACAGAGGGCAGAGCCTACGATAACCGGGGCCTCCTCCCCTTTGTAGCCAAACTCAGTGAGCAGTTCCCGGATTTCCAGCTCAACTAGCTCCACCATCTCAGAGTCCTGGACAGCGTCTGCCTTGTTCACATACACCACAACGTGCTCTACCCCGATCTGTAGATGGGGAACGATAACAAGGGATGGTGTCCAGATTGGCCCAACCCCCACTCTCTCCCCTTCCACCCCACCCAAGCTCTTGAGTACCTGTCTGGCCAGTAATAAGTGCTCTCGGGTCTGGGGCATGGGGCCATCATTGGCTGCCACCACCAGGATGCAGCCATCAAGAGGAGCAGTGCCTGTGATCATATTCTGGGTTGGGGGAGGAGAGGAAACACTCAGCCTAGTTCAATGACCTCCTCAGCTCCATATCCATCTGGCCAAGCACAGCAATTGAGAACTAGGCTCACATTTCCCTTCCTGTCTCCTCACCACCCACTTTGAGTAGTCATGGCCACAAATCCATGTCTCAAATTCCTACGTCTGAGTATCTTAACCTCCTCCCCTCAAGCCCATCGTTTATCCTGACAGAAGGCAGCTCCTGGTCCTCTCCCCGAAGGACTCTCTCACCTTAACATAATCTGCGTGGCCTGGGCAGTCTGTGTGGGCATAATGGCGAGAGGCAGTGCTATACTCCACGTGGGCCGCATTGATCGTGATACCCCGAGCTCGCTCTTCTGGAGCATTGTCAATCTCCTCATACTTCTTAAACTTGGCCCCACCGCCCTCCGCTAGAACTGGAGGGAAGAGACACACCTCTCAGCTATAAGTTCCAAGGCTAGAGGCAGGGCTCAGGCCACACCCCTGAGCTCCTCCCACCTAAACGAATAAGTCTGGGAGGACAAAAGTTCTATAACCCACCTCCCTCCAATCTCTAACTTCTCCAGCAGAGCTAACTTTGCGTCAGAAAGGAATATTAAAGGCCTCAAGGTCCAGCCCTGCGACTTCTCCAGGAGGAGGTGGCCATTCAGGGTCCCCCAATTCATGCATCACAAAGTTCTTCAGGTTAAGGGGAAATCTGCATCTTTCACTCTACCGCCTGCCCGAGTTCTGGTTCCCAGGGCCACACGAAATGTCTCCAGCAGCCACTCAAGGCCCCAGTTCCCTGGCTCCAGGTCCTGCCTGTAGATCGGGCGCTACCGGACGCCCCCACCCCATGCCCGCTCACTCTTGGTGATGGCCGCTGTTAGCGTAGTCTTGCCGTGGTCCACATGCCCGATGGTACCCACGTTTACATGTGGCTTATCGCGCACATAGGTCTTCTTGGCCTCCACTGCCAAGCCGCGGCACAAGAGAGGCAGTGCAGGAGCCTTTGGTGGCCGCAACAGACCCTGCAGTAGTGGAGACGGGCTGGCCCCGAGACCTGCCGGGAGAGAGGCTTGGACTCAGGGCGTGGATTCGAGCCTGGCCACCCCCGGAACACCGTGTCCCCGCGCTGCCACCACCCTTCCTGCCCCCTCACCGCAGAAGCGGGGCGTCGCGCGCAGCAGAGTCGTGGCCGCCATTGTCGTGGTGCAGGCACCCCGGGTACAGCGTACCGGTAGCCCGCGCGTGCGATAAGGAAGGGGCACTTACGGCTGGAAGTCACTTCCGGCGGAAGTGAGGGCCGAGAGGGCAAGTCTGGGTGCTTCTAGGCGCTAGTTTCCACGGCTTTCTTCGCCGACTTCCGGACGCGGGGCGGAGGACGCCGGGAGAAGTGTTAGTGTCTCCGGGCGGGGGACGATAAAGATTTCCACAGTGCGGTCGGGGCTAGCCAGTGAGGTGGTGCCGATGAGGAGGGCAGTGTGGAGCGTCTCATAATGCACTAGCGCTCCGAAGGCTCATGAGCCTTGCAGGTTCCGGGGAGGAGGGCTTAGGGTGGAAGTCGGGTAGGTCTGCGCCGGGTCCAGAGGGTCCCGGCCTCTGGGAG